GGCGGCAGCTGCAGTAGGAGCCGAGCCTGGCCTCGGCTTGGGTTGAAGCTGCCGTGTGAGGGCAGCAGGCAGATGGACGGTGGCGGGGTGGGCTCTGTCCTAGGTGTGAGACTGTGAGGGGCAGAACAGGCCGGGCCCTGCCTTCCTGAGCTCACAGCCGACACAAGCAAAGGAGCAAGTGGTTGCGGGCTGTCCTCACCCTAGGATGCAGGCCTTCAGGACCCTGACTCACTCCCTGCGTGGATTCTGAGTTGGCCAGGCCAGGGACGTGTCAGCAGGGAGTGGACCGGGACACCTGGACAGTTTAGCCTGGGGACCTTGGTTCTCATTATACCTCCTCCATGGGTTTTGTTGTTGTTGTTTGTTTTGAGAAGGAGTCTGGCTCTGTCACCCAGGCTGGAGTGCAATGGCACGATCTTGGCTCACTGCAACCTTTGCCTCCTGGGTTCAAGCAAGTCTCCTGTCTCAGCTTCCCAAGCAGCTGGGACTACAGGTGCACACCAGCATGCCCAGCTAATTTTTGTATTTTTAGTAGAGATGGAGTTTTGCCATGTTGGTCAGTCTGGTCTCGAACTACTGACCTCAGATGATCCAACCACTTAAGCCTCCCAAAGTACTGGAATTACAGGCATGAGCCACCGCACCCAGCCACATTAATGCTGGTCCATTTTGTGGTTTAGACACAACCGACCAGCATTAATCTTAAAATGGGGAACAGAAGATTGATGGAACAGACTTTTTGTGGCAATAAGAAATCAAATTATAAACAGGACCTAGGCCGTGCCAGGCAAGGGTTAAGTCACAAATTGTACACCTAGAGAATACAGGCACAGGCTTTTCTTTTTCTCTAGCAGCTGAACAACCACTGGCTTTGAGATACGCAAAATTAGAACAATTTGCAGCCCCACCAGCAGTAACTACAGGGGACCCCAGCCCTGTCCACCAGCCATATCTACGGGGGACCCCCAGCCCTGTCCACCAGCCATAACTACAGGGGAGCCCCAGCCCTGTCCACCAGCCATATCTATTGGGGACCCCCAGCCCTGCTCACCAGCTGTAACTACGGGGGACCCTAGCCCTGCCCACCAGCTATATCTACGGGCAACCCCCAGCCCTGTCCACCAGCAGTAACTACGGGGGACCCCCAGCCCTGCCCACCAGCAGTAACTACGGGGGATCCCCGGCCCTGTCCACCAGCTGTATCTACGGGCAACCCCCAGCCCTGTCCACCAGCAGTAACTACAGGGGACCCCCAGCCCTGCCCGCCAGCAGTAACTATGGGGGATCCCCAGCCCTGTCCACCAGCTGTATCTACGGGCAACCCCCAGCCTTGCCCACCAGCAGTAACTACGGGGGACCCCCAGCCCTGCCCACCAGCAGTAACTATGGGGGATCCCCAGCCCTGTCCACCAGCTGTATCTACAGGCAACCCCCAGCCCTGCCCACCAGCAGTAACTACAGTCTCCACTGGACAAGCGACTGAGTTCAGGAATTTTCTCCTGATGAGACCACAGACCATGGATGGCCTCTGGCAGGTTTTCAGAGGCTGCACACAGAGTGTCTTCATGTTCCTGTTTCACCATTTTTTCTTTTTTTTAAGACAGAGTCTCACTCTGTCACCCAGCTGGAGTGCAGTGGTGAGATCCCAGCTCGCTGCAATTGCTTGTCCCCCAGGTTCAAGCAATTCTCCTGCCTCAGCCTTCCAAGTAGTTAGGATTACAGGAGCCTGTCACCATGCCTGGCTAATTTTTTGTATTTTTAGTAGAGATAGGGTTTCACCATGTTGGTCAGGCTGATTTCTAACTCCTGACCTCAAGTGATCCACCCACCTCAGCCTCCCAAAGTGCTGGGATTACAGGTGCGTTCGGCCCCTGCTTCGCCTTTTGATGTGGAGGGCTGAATGGTAATACATTTAATTGTTAAGTCTCTGCCCCAAGGTGAGCACAACATGCAAGTAATGTGCATTGTGGGAAGCAGAAAAGTTCTTTAAAGTTTCCTTTCCTGTTAAAGAGTAAATCATAAGTGTGCTAATAACTCTTTGTGAAGCCCTATCGTATGTAGCTGTTAGACATGCCATGTTTACAGGCACATAGTATGTATTCTATGCCCTTGTAACTTAACCAAAATATCTGCTGGATGTGCTCACAGGCATGTCCTAGCTCTCCATGGCTTTTACCTGTTTAGAAAAGTTTTAAGTTGTCAGCCAAGCGGGGTTGAGTTTGAATTGTGAGGTCTGGCTCCAACCAACAGAAATCAGACACAGCAGTAAGGGTGACCCCAAATGCGTAAGGGATAAATACGTTTGTTTTTCCTTGTTCATTGTCTTCTCGTGGCAAGATGGCTAGCAAGAGCACCCTTCCTGCAGTCCAGGAAGTAAAAATTGCTTTGCTGAGAGATCGATTGTCTTAGTGCTGATTTTTCTGTGTGGCACCGAGCGTCTGTTTCCAGCATGCATGCCTGCCCATCACACATGTGCATGATCCACCCTCAGTTGAACACTCCTCTGACAGGCTGCTGAATGTGTGCACCCGGCCAGTCCGTTCCGCAGTGCCTGCCTCCGGTTTCGGCTGGAGGCCTGCTTCCCAGCCTACAGGTTGTCCCTTTATAAATTTTCCTCTCTACATTTATAAATCGTGTGATTTTTCAGTTGACAAGACGTTGCTGGGGGGCCACCACTCTGTGAATTCTGTGACACCACGGGCGCATTTCCCTCTAAGTGGGATTTGATACTTGCGACCCTCCCATCCATGCTTTTGTTCCTTCTGCAGATGGCTGTGGGGCCCCGGCCATGGCCAAGACCTCATCACTGCCTCTTATACTTGGCCCTTGAGTTCCTACGAGGCAGCCCCCACCCTCCCTTCCAACGAGCCTGCAGAAACCCACTGGACACGGCCTGGCCCCTCCCCTGAGCTGGATGCTGGGACACAGCAGGAGCCAGTGCACAGGGAGAGGACGTGTAGGATGGCTAATGATTAGCTCATCCCTTTCAGTAGTGCTAAGTTCTACCAAGGAGGACAGGGGCGTGGGGGTGGCCTGGCCTCCCTTCTCCTCATACCATCCCTTCTTTTTAATTTATTTTTTGAGACAAAGTCTCACTCTGTTGCCCAGGGTGGAGTGTAGTAGTGCGATCTTGACTCACTGCGACCTCCACCTCCCGGGTTTAAGCAATTCTCATGCTTCAGCCTCCTGAGTAGCTGGGACTACACGCACTCGCCACCGCGCCCGGCTAATTTTTGTATTTTTACATACAAAAATTATCTGGGCGCGGTGGCGAGTGCCTGTAGTCCCGGCGGGGGTTTCACCATGTTGGCCAGGATGGTCTCAATCTCTTGACCTGATGATCTGTCTGCTTCGGTCTCTCAAAGTGCCAGGATTGCTGGCGTGAGCCGCTGCACCTGGCCCACACTGTCCCTTCTAACATCAAATTCCACTGGCTTTGACTCCAGCTGCACCCTGAACGCAGCCTTGCCATCAACCATCACTGTGGCCCTGGGTCAGTTCCTCGCTGGCTCCTGCTCCCTCCCTTGCCCCCTAGAGTCTGCTCTCCCCCAGCTTAAGGCAGCTCCCCTCCCTCCTTTGCTCAAAACCCTCCCATGGTTCACACTTCGCTAGGCCAGAAGCCCAAATCCTCACCACGGTCCTCATCCGTTGCCCATTGGCTCCACCTCTGCACTCCCCTCAAAGCTCCTGCACCTGTTCTTTCTTCTCCCATGCGCTCTTCCCTGTGTGCAGGCTCAGCCCTCCCATGGCACCTCTAGGTCTCAGGTCTCCCAAAGAGCATCTTCTGCTTAAACTTGGACCGTCCTTCCTCCAGCCCTTCCTTGTTAACTCATTTGTTGCCATCTCCTAAGGAAGGGAGGCAGATTTAAACGGGACATGAAAAAGCAGTAGGAATCAGCTCGGTCTAGGAGGTGGTGGTGATGGGGAAAAGGGGTTGAGTGTGAAGACCCAGGGCAGAAGGGAGGGGGCCTGGGAGGGACTGAATAGGCCCATAAGGCTGTGTATGAAGGCAGAGGCCAGGCAGGCGGGAGAGCAGTCGAGGTGGCGGGGGCTCTGTTGGCCTCATCTGTCTCCGCCCCGCCCTCCCCGGTGGCCCCATCTTGTGATGGCATCTCAGGCCATCAGCCTCCTGCACACACCCTGTTCTCCTGTTCCCGGGTGATTATAAACATCCTCAAGGTGACAGCCTGCTCCTCCCAGCCTCATGTGCACCCTACAGAGTGAGCTCCTGCAGGACGGATAAATAAACAGCTGTGAGAACCAGTCAGCCAATCTCACAGCGGAGGCGGGGGTGGGGGGACCGAGGGTTAGGCAAGATCAAGGACCCCACAGCCCCCTTTTAGCCTTGAACTCCAAGGAGGGGTAGGGCAGCTGCTTGGGTGGGGCAAAGAGTGTATTTGAAGGAGCCAGGCAGGAGGAAAGAGAAAGTAGTTCTCCATGGCTCTCCTGGGAAGTGACAGACTGAAAACTTGGAGGGCTTCCTGGAAGAGGCAGACCCAAGGTAGCTGGCGGGTCTCACCTCACTGGGGAGCTTCTGTCCCATTCCTTCCAGATCCCAGAGACTTGGCCTAGGTCCTGCTGAGCCTGGACACTGTGCCCTGCTTCCCTTTAGGCAGAGCCCCTCTTCCCCAGATTCCCAGGCCCGGAGGGAGCCAGAGGAATTGGGACGAGGTGCTGGCTCTGTCTGCTCAGGGACATGAGTTAATTCATCAGGCTTTGCCCTTTCCTGGTGCTCTTGCACCCTGGAGCTGAATATTCAGGCCGGCTCCCTGACTTAGCTCCGGCCTGCGTCTGACTGGCTCTATTTTTAAAGCCCAGGGACAGCTGACGAAAATGTTTAAAAAGAAACTAAATGTTTAACATGTAAAAGCCTGGTGCTGCTGTTTTGTTCGGAAAGCAGGATGACATGTGATTTGCCCCTGTCCCCGGAAGGGTACAGGGCACTGCAGCAAGGCCGGGGGCTCAGGGAACCCAGGTTAGGCCCCAGCTTTACAACTTACCTCTGTGTGAACTTGGCCAGGCCCCTTCTCCTCCTGTGCCTCAGCTTCCACTCTGTGAAAAGAGAAGTTAGGATGAGTTGGATTTCCTTCATTAGACTTTGGGTGATTCAAGAGTCATTTTTCTTTTCTTTTTTTTTCTTTTTTTTTTTTTTGCGACAGAGTTTTGCTCTTGTTGCCCAGCTGGAGTGCAATGGCATGATCTCGGCTCACCGCAACCTCTGCCTCCCAAAGTGCTGGGATTACAGGTGTGAGCTACTGTGCCCAGCCTCAAGAGCTGTTTTTCTGCAGGGAGTGGGTGGTGGGGGCAGGCTCTGTCCTCTGTTCCCCACCCTTCTTTGTCTGGCTAACTCCCCTAGAAAGCTCCACTTTCTAACTAGGAGGAAAGGCCTTCTGCAGGCCCCTCACAGCGGCTGGGGAGGCCTTGGGAACAGAAGTTGGCAGCCTTCATCTTTAATCTGCAGCTCACATGCAGTGTCACCATGTAAACTTCTGGGTCTCAGTTTTACATCTTTTAAAAGGGGAGTGGCAGTGCCCTCCCGGCTCACCTCACACAGCTGTAGCAGAAATCCGATGTCTTGGTTAATGTATGTGGTCGATGATACTTGGAGTTCCTTCAGTGCCAATCATTTCCATGTACTCTAATCCAGATACTGACTGAGCATGTACCAGTACCAACAAAACCCCATTACTGACATGCAGGGTGGGGCCAGCTACCTAGGTGACATGATTTCTGAGCTAGCCCCAGCAAGGAACAGCAGTATGTGTCATGCAGGCCACTGGCACCTCTCAGTTCTCCATCACAGGGCAGAGCTGGCGCCTCTCAGTTCTCCATCACAGGGCAGAGCTGGCGCCTCTCAGTTCTCCATCGCAGGGCAGAGCTGGCGCCCCTCAGTTCTCCATCGCAGGGCAGAGCTGGCGCCCCTCAGTTCTCCATCGCAGGGCAGAGCTGGCGCCCCTCAGTTCTCCATCGCAGGGCAGAGCTGGCGCCCCTCAGTTCTCCATCGCAGGGCAGAGCTGGCACCTCTCAGTTCTCCATCACAGGGCAGAGCTGGCACCTCTCAGTTCTCCGTCGCAGGGCAGAGCTGGCGCCCCTCAGTTCTCCGTCGCAGGGCAGAGCTGGCGCCCCTCAGTTCTCCATCGCAGGGCAGAGCTGGCGCCCCTCAGTTCTCCATCGCAGGGCAGAGCTGGCACCTCTCAGTTCTCCATCACAGGGCAGAGCTGGCGCCCCTCAGTTCTCCATCGCAGGGCAGAGCTGGCACCTCTCAGTTCTCCGTCGCAGGGCAGAGCTGGCGCCCCTCAGTTCTCCGTTGCAGGGCAGAGCTGGCACCTTGAGGACCTGGCACAGGGTTCACCCCCACAGGGTTCCTCCTGCAGTAATCTCTCTAGCCCATACGTCCTCTGCACATGGCTCTGTCTCTCCCCTTGATTCTGGGAGGACGTGTAACTTGCTGAGGAGCAACAGCATGTGTGAAGCAATGCAGCTTCTGCTTCATTTGCTGAAATGCCACATGAGCAGACCAGCTGCCCGAGTTGCTATGCTGTGAGGAAGCTCAACAAGCCACACAGATAAACATAAGAGGGAGAGGTGCCCGGCCAGAGGCTCAGAACTGCAAGCACACGATAGACTGTTTGGCCGAGCAGTCCTGGAATTCTTCAGGCACAAAAATTATGAGAAACAGCGGTGCTGTCTCTGCGGCTAAGTTTTGAGTGCTTTGTTTCACGGAGTAGTAATTTACTCAGAGGTGGTCGGCGCAGACTGGAGGGCAGGTCTTTCCTCAAAATTCTTGTCTGTGGTTTAGAGTTGGGATTGAGACTTTGGAGAGGTAAATGAAATGAGCACAGAAGTTACCAATGCCACTGCCTGGTGGAAAAGTCTGTGTGCTGCTCTCTTCCCTGCTTTGGCAAGCTTTAAAGCCTCCCTTTGAGGTGGGGATATCTTCTTTTTTTTTTTTTTTTTTTTTGAGACAGAGTCTTACTCTGTCCCCCAGGCTGGAGTGCAGTGGCACAATCTTGGCTCACTGCAACTTCTGCTTCCCGGGTTGAAGCGATTCTCCTGCCTCAGCCTCCTGAGTAGCTGGGATTAGAGGTGTGTGCCACCAAGCCCAGCTAATGTTTGTATTTTTAGTAGAGACGGTGTTTCACCATGTTGGTCAGGCTGGTATTGAACTGCTGACCTTGTGAACCACCCGCCTTGGCCTCCCAAAGTGCTGGGATTACAGGCGTGACCCCCCACGTCTGGCCAAGATGGGGGTATCTTAAGATGGTGAAACATGTTAGTCTGAGTGGGTCCCTGAAGATCTGCAAAGAGAGAGACCCTTCCCATCAAGCCAAACCTTAGTGGTAATAAGCCCTTGAAAATTGGGGGTTTTTACTGCAGTTTAAAATGACCTTTCCTGACTTATACTCAATACAAACAAATAACGAGAGTAAAATGTTTCCCGTGTTATTGTTGAGAGCCTGTGGTATTGAGAACATTCAGTTAACCATCGGCTCTTATTATAATACCAATTCCTGTGTCTAAATCCAGACCCTGACATGTGGAGTTGAATGCAAGAAGTTTGTTTGAAAACTGATTCCTGGAAGCACTGGTGGTAAGGTAGAGAAGTGAGATGACGAACAGAAGGAATTTGATTACGGGGTGCAGGGATGAGAAGCTTACTGCTGTTGGTAACCAGGGTTTGGTCCTTCTGGGGACCTCTGGGAGACTGTGTACAGCATGCTTTGGGTCATCCCAACCAAGAGGTATGGGAGCCAGGGATTTACCCACCTGCCCCCATCCATCGTTAGTTGAGGGCTGCTCCTGGGGTGGTGGGCTACTCCTAGGGTATCAGCTGCCAGGCCCTTGGGCTTGCCCTGGGCACACAGCAGCATGTTCTTAGGCCAGGGGAAGTCCTGGAGCTGAGCCTTGGCTTTGCAGGGAGGGGCTGTTGGGGAGAACAGACTTTGGCTGTTCCAGGAGTGTGAGGAGGCATCCTCCTTTACAGATAAGAAAAAGAGCTCTTGGGAGTCCTCTGTGCCACAGCCTGACCATGATCTCTGGCCTGTTTGACTTCTTGGCTTGTAGTCTGGATCACTGAGGCTCTTGTGGGAAAACACAGAACACCAGGATGGGACCTCCCGTCCGGAGCCTCAGCTCTTGGTGGGAAGGGGCTGCATCTCTTTTGCTGTGACTAACAGCTCTGCATCTGTGGAAATGTCTCGCAGGGGAGCAACCTGAGACCCAGGCGTGCTCTCAGGGACCCTCACGGGCTGCCAGCTGGACAGCAGCCCAAGGATTTGATATAGGGCGCTCTTCATTGCTGTGTGAGTCTGGGACCTCTCTGAGCCCTACTTTGCCCAGAATTTTTGCACAGAGCAGATGACATGCTGAGTAGAATGCGAGGCATTGGAGCCACTGGGGACAGAGCTAGGATCAGTGCAGCGTTCTAATCTGTAGGGCAGTCGGCATGGCTGACAGGCAAAGCTGCCAAGGCTCAGCGAGGGAAGCGGGGCCAGGAGAGGCCGAGTCTGGGGCACACACTTGTCTGTCCTAGTCCCTGGAGGTGTTTCCTCTTCCCAGTCTGCCCCGCCCCCTGCAGCCTCCATACATGGCTCTCCCACCATTTGGACACATTTATTTAGTACCTTCTAAGGCCCTGTAGGAGGAGTCAAGCAAGGCTTCGAAGGGACATATAATTAATTAGGGTGAAAAGCATAGAAACAAATAATTCAGGACCCAGAAATGCATTTTGATTGACAAATCAGTCCTGCTAAGAAGTTGCTCCTGTGCTTGAAGCCCCCGGGGGAGGGACCTGGCCTGCCCTGGGATGAGTCTATACCCTCTCGATCAGGTTTTTGGATTTTAGGGATGAAAAAGAAAAGGTTCTTGGAGACGTTCCCAAGCGGCCTCTGACCCAGAAAATGGAGAGGGCAGGGCTAAGGGTCTGAGGTCTCCAAGACTGAAGCAGGCAGGGATTTTGGGGACTTGGAGACCACAGGATCGATGCCGCTGAATGCCAGGAGACACTAGGGTGCTGATCAGGGTGATGCCAGCTGGTCTTCCTCTGCGGAGGGTCAGGACTCACCCAAATGGTGCTGGATGGCCAGGTTCTCATTCATTCTGTGGGTCTGAGAAGGGAGGAGATTCCCACACCAATTCACTGGGTGAGTGGCTGCGCAAATGGGATTTAAAATGACTTTAGGCCAGGTGTGGCGCCTCATGCCTGTAATCCTAGCACTTTGGGAGGCTGAGGTGGGCAGATCACCTGAGATCAGGAGTTCGAGGCTAGCCTGGCCAACATGGTGAAACCCCATCTCTATTAAAAATGCAAAAATGAGGAGGGATAGCCTGGGGATAAATACCAAATGTGGGTGAAGGGGAAAAGGAAAGCAAAGCACACTGCCATGTGTGTACCTACGCAACTGTCTTGCATGCTCTGCTCATGTACCCCAAAACCTAAAATCCAATAAAAAATTTAAAAAAAAAATGCAAAAATGAGCCAGGCATGGTGGTGGGCACCTGTAATCCCAGCTACTTGGAAGGCTGAGGTGGGAGAATTGCTTGAATCCGGGAGGCAGGGGCTACAGTGAGCTGAGATCCTGCCACTGCACTCCAGCGTGGGCGACAGAGTGAGACCCTGTCTCGAAATAAAATTTTAAAAAGTAAAATAAAATGACTTTTAAAAAAATAGAGAGGTATGAATAAAAACAACATGCTGAAGCTTGGGGGATGCAGCAAAAGCAGTGCTAAAAGTAAATTTGAGACCTGTTAAATGCTTATGGTAAAAAATAAGAAAGATCTCAGATAGGCGTGGTGGCTCATGCCTGTAATCCCAGCACTTTGGGAGGCTCAGGTAGGCAGATCACGAGGTCAAGAAATCAAGACCATCCTGGCTAACATGGTGAAACTCCACCTCTACTAAAAATCTAAAAAATTAGCCAGGCATGATGTCACACCCTATAGCTCCAGCTACTCAGGAGGCCGAGGTTGGAGACTCACTTGAACCCGGGAGGCAGAGGTTGCAGTGAGCCAAGATGGTGCCACTGCACTCCAGCCTGGGTGACAGAGTGAGACTCTGTTTCAAAAAAAATCAAGAAGAAGAAGAAGAAAGATCTCAAATCAACAACTTAACTTTACAACTTAAGGAACTAGGAAAAAAAAAACCACCAAAACTAGACTAAGCCTAAATTGCAGAAGAGAGGAAATAATTTAGATTAGAGCAAAGATCAATAAAACAGAGAAGAGAAAAGCAGTAGAGAAAATCAATGAAACAAAAGTTGATTATTTTAAAAGACCAATGAAAATTGACAACGCTAACTAGAATGACTAAGAAAAAAACTCAAATTATCAAAATCAGAAATGAAAGTAGGGATATTACCACTGATTTTACAGAAATAAAAAGGATTATATTTTGTGAACGCTTGTACGCCAACGAATTGGAAAACCTAGATGAGGTGGACAAATTATTAGAAATACACAAACTAGGATTTCCAGCTCTCTGGAATCCCCTCCCACATAATGGGAACTCAAAAAAAAAAAAAAAAAGAAATACACAAACTATCAAAACTAAAACACGAAGAAATTGAACATCTGAATAGACCCCTCACTGGTAAGGAAGTGGGCTCCGTAATCAGAAACAGAAACCTCCCAACAAAGAGAAGTCCGCATTGGTGGCTTCATTGATGAACTTTCACAGACACTTAAATCACACCTGTAATCCCAGCACTTTGGGAGGCTGAGGTAGGAGGACTGCTTGAGCCCAGAAATTTAAGGCCAGCCTGGTCAACATAGTGAGAGCCCCATCTCTACAAAAAGTTTCTTTTTTTTTTTTAATCTGGGTATGGTGGCAGGTGCCTGTAGTCCCAGCTCTTTGGGACTTGAGGTGGGAGGATTGCTTGAGCCCAGGGTTTAGAGGCTGCAGTGAGCTATGACTGTGCCACTGCATTCCAGCCTGGACAACAGAGCAATACCCTCTCTTTTAAAAATTGTTTATTAAATTCTGACTAGCTCACAAAGGGAGGACTCTCACCCCCATTTTAGACACATGGAGACAAGTTCAGAGGCAGAGCCAGGTCCGAACACTCGGGCTCCCAGGCCCACGCCATGCCAGCCCCCTTCCACCCTGGTTCCTGGCCTTGATGTGGTGAAGTCTGTGCTGTGGATGGGGTCCTCTAAGGCTCTTTCAACATGAGAAATTCTGTGACACCAAGAATCAATATTCGAATTTCTCAAGCTCAACCCAAACCCAAACACCAGTAAATCGTGACTTTTTTTTCCAAGACAGAGTGTCACCCTGTCACCCAGGCTGGAGTACAGTGGCTGGCTCACTGCAACCTCCACCTCCTGGGTTCAAGCGATTCTTGTGTCTCAGCCCCCCAAGTAGTTGGGATTACAGGTGTGCACCACCACACCCAGCTAAGTTTTGTATTTTTAGTAGAGACTGGGTTTCACCATGTTGGCCAGGCTGGTCTCAAATGCCTAACATCAAGTGATCCACCTGCCTTGGCCTCTCAAAGAGCTGGGATTACAGGCATGAGCCAGCACACCTGGCCACTTTTTTTTTAAGTACAGAAAATAGATCAATCAGACCACAACTGAATATAGAATTTCCTAAATCCA